ACTGCAACGCAAAGCACCACTGGATTTTCGCCTTTCTTTCTGCTTTATGAACACGAGCCATCATCAACAATGGATACTATTCTTTCTTATCGACCGGACCCTTCAGAGATGACTACCGTCTCTCGAGCAGCAGCACACGCTGAAGAATGTCGGAAGCTTGCTCGTGCGTTCATGTCACATGACCAGACGCGCCAAAAACATCGCCACGACGCGTCAACCACGTTTATGAGCTTTGCTCCGAACTCACTGGTGTGGTTATGGATTTCCTCTACTCCTCCAGGACTCTCCCACAAGCTTTCGTCCAGGTACCATGGCCCTTATCGAGTTGTACGCCAAACATCTCCTGTCAACTACCTGGTCGAGCCGCTGGATGCATCTCCGGACAAGCGCCGTCGGGGACAAGAAATCGTACACATCTCTCGGCTCAAGCCACACCATGACCCTTCTGTGTACACCTGTCCTTAGGTCGCCAGGATGGCTCCCTCATCGCCCAGGGGTGATTGTAACGAGGGCAGTGGGAATGGAGCTCGAGTATAGAAAAGGAAGAAGACTTGCTGTGATCGCAGGCTTGCGTTCAGTTAGCCCTTGCGCTAAATAAAGCTTTCGTTCGCCAAGTCAGCTCCTGCTGGTTCAACACCCCGTTTCATAACATTAAATTAATTTGATCATGCCAAGATAACCTTACACAATATTACACAATGCTCAAAAATGTAACAAACACAGGAACACACACTAGCCAACTTCGCCAACGCTCAACTTACCACAAGGGCCCCCGGCGCGCGCCCCGCAGTGCCGCGCGCCGGGGGCCTACCGCTACAACCATTCGCACCACCCGCCACCCGTAAAAGAGGCACGCTTGTCTCTCTTGTGCCGCCACCCAGGTTTGCCGCCAGGCATCATGGCTGGTGCTATGCACTAACCGTGATGATGATAGTTGTTAAAAACGCTCGCGAGCACATCGCCACCTACCGCTCGATAATTTGCACCCCTGTATGTGGCTTATGTGCAAGACACATGCACTACGAGGCGAAAACAACTTTACAGGGGGGTGTCAGCACACCCAAAGTGTAAGTTTGTAGATGAGTGCTTAACCTGGGTGAAATCTTTTTAATGTCAACGAGAAAGAAAGCAGGAACACGTTATCGAATATGTTGCGTTCATCACAGTCATGTTTGGCACAAGCGAAGGATGGCCAGTTGGTAGACTGTACCTGACGAAAAGGGAAGATAATAAAAAGGAGCTGCGCAGACAAGGCACTTAGCCATTCGCCTCTGAACGCGTCTTTGTTGCCAAAGTACTGTTGACTGTGCGAGTTGGTGCACGATAAAAGGATATTGCTTTAGCACAGCTCAGTTTGAGCGTGAAGATGCTATACAGTCAAGAAGGGGGAAAAACAGATGACAGCTACCTTTCGTTTATTGCATACCTTTACAACACATTATATAGCTAATTCCACGTGATGCCACACACATTCAAAACCGTAAATATGTGGTGCAGCACACGTTACTAAGGAAACCTAGTGTTGATCTCATCTCAAATTAAAAATCCTATATCAATGCTTCACAGCACACACTCCAAAAAATTGAGCTCTTTTTCAGATAAGGCCACAGACGGCGTACTCACACACAGCTTCGCACATTCTGTGATAACATTCGCCTCAATAATTTCTTGTGTCAATTGGTTATAACTGTAGTCCAAGATGACACAGTGGTGCATGTATACATCTTGCAACGCATAGCCAGGAACCCACCAGGAAACTTGTTTTTTTACATTGTAAGAGTGCTCGCACAGAGGGTCATTAACATACCTACCAGTCTGTCCTACGTAAACTGCGCCAAATGACAGCAGGAACATGTAGACGACAGCTAGGGCGCATTCAAAAAACTTAGTTACGTGCTTCTTTCCACAGGTGGGTTGCACCTCCTTCTTGGTGTTCCTAAGCTTACATAGACGACTTAGTTTGTGTGGAGCAGAAAACAATACGTGGACATTTCCTCTCAGGGCTATCTTTTTTAAAATGGTGAGAACTTTGATGTATATGGTGCGACACTGGTTTTTCCAACATCGGGCTCACCATTTGTCTGCCGCCATCTTTGCATACGCGGACCGTGCAATAAACACTCAGCTACCAACACCTTCCCCAACACTGGATAGCCTGCCAAGGATAATTGCTTGCTTTGTCCTGCAGAACTAGCGGCCATAGTGTCGTGGCATGACTCCATCAGGGCATTTCTAAAACATAACCTGGCAATTTTTCCTTTTATCAGCTTTGAATTCACCGAATGGCACTTCAGGCACTCCAGGCTTTTCTGTTATGTGAACAATTTCTTGTTTTTTATTGAGTGTACATCAGTTGACATTGAACAGCAGGTTGCAGAAATCCTGCCAATAATTAAGGAGTGTCTTGCACCACTTGAAGTGATGTATGAAATACCGCAAGAAGGCACAATCTGCTTTCTTTACCTTCGTCTCTCTTGTTCGTTTGAAGACACTTGCTGGTGCTAAATACCTCGGTCGGAAGAGCCTCTCTTTCAGTACAATTCAGTGCTTTCAAAGTTGATAAAACAAGCGATTATCAAATTATGTTTTAGAAATGCCCTGATGAAGTCATTTACAATTTATATGTAAAAAACAAGATTTCTTCTGGTGGTTTCCTCTAAACTGAGCTGCCCAAAAGCAATATCACTTTGTTGCCAAACCCCGTGAGCTTTTTGTTTACCGCACCTGGCGCTGGTGAGTCACCCGCATGGCGGAAGCGTTCTCACAGTGAGCCAGTTTGAGAAACAAGTGGTCCCAGTCGCGACACCACTCCCGACAAAATAATGTGATGGCTTGCTGTCACAGTAAGTGTGTACAGATGGCAGCATCGTGAGTATTAAATCCAGACAGCCAACCAGCTGTCTAGCCAAGCTTGTTGTTGCGCTAAAGTATCTTCAAGCTGTACGTTGACAAAATGACAGAGTTCTTCTTTAGCCGTTTTCTTGGAGGTTGAGGACAGCAAAGTGTGGGAACACTGAGGCGGAGACACATCTTTGAGGAAAAGAGAGTTTTTCTGCAATGGTGGAGCATCAAGAAGGGGTTCGTCCCACAAGGCTGTCTCAGATGAGACGGGAGGTATTTAATATAGAGTACTGGAGAGTAGCAAAGCTTAGTACTCGAGAACGAGATCTAGAAGCATGGACAGAGGTGGTGCTTGGTGCCCACTCTGATCCAGGGTTTGATACTACATCAAGAAGTTGGTGTCAATGTGTCCAGCATACTAAGAGTTCGGCAAGTAACACTGACGTTTATTACAGCCCAGTGCGCACTGTGCAGTTTAGTGGCTGCCCCGGCCTTTGATGATTGTAAACAAGTTTCAGTGTGTAAATAAACTGAAGTTTGCCAGGAACTAAGCAACCGGGCCTGTCCAATCCTTTAACGTATTCTCGTGGTCATCTGAGCCATCGGGATTATTTCTATCCCAAACCTAACTGTTCCTAAACTCATAATTGGATTTGTATAGCATTACATGACCAGGACAGGTCATGTAATGCTAATTACAGACAGTGGTCATTGTCGGGATGCATACCAAGTGCCGGGATGCATACCAAGATAAGGAAAACTTGGCCGTGGGCAGCGATGGCTCAAAAGCAGGTACATAATCAAGAAATTAGGAGGCCCTCACAGGGCAGAGAGAATCACAGATAATTCGAAGATGTTTTTGCCCAGCGCACATGACATAAACTTATGATCCTGATGTGGACAACGGAAGTCTTTTTTTACATTCATATTAACTGTTATTTTTTTTATTTAAACAAAATTTAGCGTATCCAATGAAACTTGCGTGTTTCAAGCAGACGCGTTTCTGCAACACTAGCGTCGTCTGTTACATGAAAACAGGAATATGTCCTTTGTTGCTTTTATAAAAAACATAATTCCACATGAACCCAGATAAATGCAAGTTCAGTTTTTATAAATGGTTATTTCTTATTTGAAGAGCGGATGAATATCGTCTGTCGGTCACCATCGTTCTCACCGGACTTTGGAGACAACTGCAAACGCATCAGTGAATAAGCAGCTAAATGCCGTCTGCTGAGCAGACGACATGAGTCTCTGCATATGCCATGGTTTAGATGATTAGCCGAAATAATGCAGTAGCGATGAAGCATAGACTAACATGGGCTTTATGAGCAACTATGCTTAGTACCCGTAAATCCAATTAATAGTAATGCACACATTTTTTTAAGCTGTATGACAATAAAACGTTTGGTGGAAATAGCGGTGCACACACCTTATTTCATAAAAGCTGGCATGTATAAGCGAGTAAAAAGTGCTTCCTGATGCTTCATGTTTATACACTTTTGACACTTAAACTGCATAAAGTGGCAAACCGTGTGTTTCTGGTGCATAGATTAAACTGACTGACATTTGAGTCAAAGCCATTGGCAATTAAAATAAACATCGTAGCACTTGGATTAAACTCACTGGCACGCGGCATAACTGAGTTGGCGCTTGGATTAAATATGTTGGCACTTGGATTAAATGTTTCTTGCATGGATTAAATAGCTTTGCGCTCAGATTATTTCAGTCACGTGGGGATATGTAAGCTGGCACTCGAAATAAAGTGAGTGGGAAACCTGTAGTTGCATGAAGTCACCGTAATTCGGGCCTAATATCAAGCTGGTGTCGATGTTAAGGTACACCTCATAAAAATTGTCTTGAATGTCAAAAAATAAAATATCTGGGCAGCATTTGCCGAGGTTCGCATTTGCTCAGAGCTATCTCTGTATACAAAATATTTGTATGGCACTGTAAACATACCTTCAAGAATTGATGTCAGTACCCGTTTAATATAGAACCCTGCCCAAAACCTCTATGCACCCTGTTGTCACGAATATGAAGGCCATCAGTGCCTGTCATGTGGAGGTGTTATTGTGGAGCGCACAACTTAGTGTCAGGTTTGCTGTACTGGCATTCTTGTGCAGTGCATTGTTTTCGAGGCCTGGTCCCTGCATTTGCAGGTGCTGCGATACCTGCGTCGGTGCCTGCATGCAAGTGCTGGAGTGACTGGGGCGCCCGACGAGCGGTCACTTCGGGATTCCACGGGGGCACCTCGCGTCTGCCGCTACCTGCACTCGCTGGCCGCTCAAGGGGACAAGAAGCCGGAGCTGTACGCGCAGCTTCTGGTGCGATTCCTGCCCCTGGCTACGGGTATGGACAATGGTTGAGGCATTCGCCTGACTCGCTTGCTGCAACGGGTCTTCGTGTGATGTGCAGATGAAGGCCCCCTGGTTTCCCTGGTAGAGCTGGTTGCATCGGCTGCGCCTGACCAGTCCTTCAGCCTTCTGGAAGCAGGGACAGGGGTCCTCAAGGCAGGTTACTCTCGTCACCTGTACGACTCAGATTGACCAGCGTAACCCAAGTGAATGCTCCTTGTCCACCAAAGTAACTGGGTCCCACAAGAAGCTCTCGCCATGTAGCTTAGAAGTAGTCACCATGTTTACAAAGGGGCTGTTATCATAGAAGAATACAGCTGAGGACAGATTTATGAAAAGTGTTGGGACTAGGGCTGTGGGAATACTTGAGCGTTTGAGTATTTGTAGTAGTTTTTGTTATTCTATTAGGTGTACAGCAATCTATATCAAAAATTAATAGGCACAAAACTAAAGCAATGTGCGAACACAAATGCAGTTGTGGTGATCACAGGTTACCACTAAAGTACGTGCGCTGATTCGACCTAATACTGCTTGCCGCAACGCTGTGGACGAAACTGCATCCATGGGAACAAAAATTGCAGCGGCACAGTTCTAAACGCACACGCATGGCTTGCGCGGCGGCCACACATCGAAAACATTACCACCGTTTGGCGCAACCCCTGTGCAGGAAATCGAGCTCGCTATCGTCGCGTTCATCGATAGAGAATACGCTGCGAAGATGCGCAGCTCACACAGCCGTAGACTGAAGGCAATAAGACTGTAAAATGGCACGAAGCATTATGGCTATCCTGTCGATCACTTATTGATAGGGTAGTGCGAAGCTTCAGCACTTTCAGTTGCAGTTTTGAGTTGACCTCTAACAAAGCTTTGGCACGCTCGTTCACGGCACTGTGCACTCAGCATGCACCAGTAGCCTTCTGAATATCGTATTTATTGTGTAGCCTTGCTCCTAAATATAACCGGCACTCCGGACTACAAGTCGCGGGAGAAAGAAAAAAGAAATCTTGTATTGACGCAAGGCCGCCTTTCTTGCATAACCGTAAAGGCGCACCATGAAGCCAACTTGCGGACTGAAATTCTCATATATCCTACACACTGGCTTTAGCTAATTAAATTCTATATATTTTGAACGTGTTACACGCAAAAAAATACGTTCACTCGCTGTGCGGCCTGGTATACCCGACCCTGATTGTCTGCAAGCATAGAGTTTTCGAAAATTCACTAGAGGGGACTCGGGCGCTGCGATCGTTCAGCGACCATTGAAATGATGGATAGTGCAAGGATTCGCCTAGTCTTCGTACTTGAGGGCAGTGAATTGCACTTGTGGCTTCGTTTATTGCTGTGTTCTGGTTTAGTTTTGAAAGAAAAAATGAACCCTTTTGATTTTTGTGACCCTATTTGAAGTGGAAAGACTAAAAGATTAAGCGCAGCCTTATAACATTCACTGGTTTTGTTTCGTGACAGAACAGCAGCAAGCCACAATAACACACACTGAGCCAGAAGTACAAAGATTAGACAAATTCGTGTACAACCCATCATTCCCATGCTCGCTGAAGCGCCATGCATTGCTGCTCTCATAGACACTAGGGCCAGAGTTCCCTCTATTGAATATATAGTAAACTCTATGCCTGCAGGGGCTGCTATTGTCCGGCAGGGAAGCAGTGCGCGAGTGTGCTGCTCAACTGGTGGGCCTGCTGATGGCCTCGCACCCTCCAGACACCTTTCGTGGAGACCTGCAGGCACTCTGCACAGACATCCGAAGAAAAACAGAGGTGAGTGCTCATGCTCTGGTGTCTGACTGCAATCCTTCTGCCTGTGTACTGAATGAGAGGCCCAAGGATGCTTGCCAAAGGCAGGGGCAATTTGCAAACTTTGCATCATCTATGAGAATGATGTGCACGAATCTCATTTCCTTATTTGCTTTACCACCTCAGCTCAAGATTATTGACGAAACCTTCCTGCATTCATTTTTTTTTCCTCTTTCCAGGGCCTCGTCTGATAAACTCCTCTTTCCCAGAAGGCATTAGCTTATTCTTAGACAGGACGGCCAAGCAATGACCCATGACCAATCACTCAGCTAGAGTGCAAAAAGTGAGCCCACGGTAGCATCGTACAGCGATGCCCTTTTGAGTCAAGGTTCAAATTAGTTTGTCCAGAATATATGTACATGCACTGTCCAGCAAGGTTTGTCTGGTCAGTATAAGTTGGTCATGGACCGTTTGTTGGTCATTGGGACATGAGTCTCCTATCTGCCACTCCAAGCATAAACGGCATTGTGTGCTCAGAGTGAGATTGAAAATGGTTAAATGCTTATGTAGATAATTACCACAACTTATGATTTGTAGTTTTTCTTTAATTTGGAGGTGTCAGTAGTAGCACAAGTTGCCTTGTTTTTTTTTGCTGTTCTGACTCTTGACATGCTAGCATTAAGGTAATCATTCATAATGAAAGAAATGTCCATCCAGCAAGTGCAAAATATGCTTCTTTGATTCCTGCAATGCAGTTTGCTGAGCATAGCAGTTGAAACCTGAGCCTAGCAAGCTTTTGTCACCTTTGCTTTTTACTAGGTTTGTGTGAAAAGTGAATTTTAAATTCGAAGCAAACGGTGATTTTGGCTAAATAATATCGAATCAAGTTCGAATAGAATAAATGTTGCGTAAAGAACTAACCTGCACAATATATACATTTTTAAGAAGGCCTTTATGCAAGAGATTTATTTTTTTTCATTCAAGGGAAGTCAAAACAACTTTGAGAAGTAGCAGGATTTGACTTTCAGTAGGATGCAAGTGATAACCTGTAAAATACATAATGTTATTCATTACAGCTATAGTGTATAAGCTGGCAAAACAAGCTTTAAAGGTTAGAAAAGGATCGATTGAATTGAGGATAATATGTTTATTTAAAGGATTCCTGCAACAGTTTTTTAAGTTGTCATAGAATCTATTCATTAAAAAAGATTATTGCGTTATGAATTACTCACCGCAAAAATTTTTCGAATCTGTCCAGTATGAGCAGAGGCATAAAGATTTGCTACATTCTGCAATTGCATTCTTTCTTCTCGTCCCGACGAAAGTGCTTAAAGCAAAGCAGCAAGGAATGGCATAGGGAAGGAAAATACGTTTCTTGTGGGTCGTGACCCTGAGCACTTTTTCTCTTTGAATATGGGAATTTTCAGTGCGATTATGCATGTACGTGTGGACATGTCGCGGCCACACGCAGCAGCTCCAGTAACGACCCAGCGCCCCATGCTCAAATCAGCCAATGGCTGGTACAATTGCAGTGATGAGCGATTTTTGGCATTGTGGTGTCGTTTGCCAAAAGAATAGAGCAATTTTTATCTGACGTTGAGAATTTATTGTGAATTTCAGGTCACGTGCTGCGCTATAATAATTAGCTCGCGTGTTTTCGGTAGCCTCGATTACCGATCGGCAGCATTTGCTGACCATGCTCAAAAAGTGTTGCAGGGCCCCTTTAAACTTAAAGTGGGGCTTTGCGGCAGAGCAAATTTCTCCTGGGTAGGTGCTGTCACGGCTGAGCACTACTATACTGCAGTGAAACCACCTTTACAGGCAGTTACAAGCGGCTTAGTATACATTTATTCGTTCATGTCGAATACTTAGGTATTCGATAATTTAAATTCGAATCAAAGCGAATTTGAATACTATACTACTCGTTCGAATATACGAGGCATTCGAATATTTGCACAAGACTACTTTTTACGGTATTTACAGACTTTTTCAAAAAATTTTTACGTTGATTTTGCTTTTTTAATTTATACTTCTTGCTCCCATACATTGCTAAAAGACAGACAATGTGACAGAGTGTGCTGCAAGAGATATTTTTCATGTTGCACATGGGCAAAGCACAGGCTATGTTCCGCCACTACATGCAACAGGTGTCAATGGGGCTGCCCATCCGTGATGGAAAAACGCACGAAGCTTGTTTGGGGAGAACTTTAAGAGCGCTTCCACTTTTGCTTGTCTGCTCATAGAGACTGATTATGCTGGGCATAGGATAGCACCAAGAGAACAACGTGACACAAAGTGCAAACCACCATCACTTCATTGACGTCATGAGTAAGGCGACTCTTTATACATTTTTACAATGACATTGTGCATTGCAGCAGTGCACTCCCACTAAATGTATATAACAGTGGTGCAAGTTAAAATCTCAAGAACATCACTTAATGTACATACTGTGACTTGCCAACGACATTGAGCATCACAGCAGCACAAAGTAATTATAACAAAACATCACTGCACATGTGGCATGCCATGCAGATATGCTTTTTTTTAAAGACGATAGTCTTTCTTAGGGACCTTCGACAGAAAAATTTTGGTCTGTCTGTCTGTTTGTACATTTGTCTGTTTGTCTGCCCTAGCGATACCTCAAACGGCACCAAACGGCCAACCCCATCCGCAGCGCCCACCAATATTGCTCAAGGTTTAGCGTTCATAGATGTGCGATTGTCAATTGAAAAAGCAAATATTGCTCATATCTGAGACGCCATAACCACATGTCTATGTTTTGTATGTCTGCCTTTATACTAGAAGAGGCTAACACAAGTAACTCTAAGAACTGTAGCGTTTATCGCGCTGCGCTGACAGTGCAACCCGATGCTCAAGGAGGTGTTTCCAACGCTTCGCTATGACGACACGGTGGTGGCACCTGCTCATCGCTTTGCATTCTACACCTTATCACCTCCGAGACTGGCGCGCATCTTTCTCCGCGGTCGCGCGCCTTCGTTTTCGAAGATAGCTACCAGATGGCGCTTGTGTCTAATGTGCTTAGATGCGCTTGTTAGCCTCCGCTACACGCTCGAGGCACTCTTAAGGGGGGACGCGGCCCTTGAAAACCGAAAAATCGCGAAAAAGTCGGTTTTTGAGAAACCACATTTTTGGGTTGTATGTCTCATAAACTACCTATTCTGTAATTATCAGCACCTAATTCAACCGCAAAGTGCAAAAAAAATACTATTTTCGAGGCCGCCGCGGCGTCCAAAACAGGCGCAAATCCCGAAATGAAACCAAACTTCGCGCGCGCGCCATTCCAGGACCATGCGGTCGTCCCGCGCCATCTTGGTGTTGTTTTGACCGTGAATTCTTTCTCTCTCGTTCGCCGCCTTGCAAAATGGCGTCGGCAGCACAGTTGAGACGCTATTGGCGTTTTCCCGCGATGCGATGTGGAGCGCTGATTGGCTAGAGCAGCGCATTCATATCTCGCGTGAGAAAGCGTGCCCGCCATTGGCTGCTGTGCAGCAGCAGGGGCGGTCGCTCCTCTCGATGGCGCGTCCAGCGCGCTCGCTTCGTTGTTGCTCTCTGCTCCGTCCGCTTCGACAGACGTCTGCTTACGAGCCGCTCTTCGCCTTGTGCTATCTTTTCGATCATTTTCTCTCGTTTGCTTTCTTTTTTGCACTAGTTCTGTGCCTTTCGTCTTTGTTGTTGCGGGCGATGCCGGCAACGAAGCCGAAGTCAGTGCGGAAGTCCGGTGCGCGGAGGCGCGCTATGCGGCTTGTACGATCATCGAAATTCCGCTATTCTGCTGCGGGTGCCGACTGCGTAGACGCTTGCAGCGACGGAACTGTGTTGTCGGCTGTCGCCAGTCGAGAATCCGACACATCGAGTGTGGCTGGAGCCGCAAATGCACCGCGTGTTTCCGAGATCGCCGGGCTCGACACGTGCTCCGAATCGATGCCATCCAGTGTGACATCGAGTGCTTCTAATATCGCCGGACCCAGCACTTCGTCTGAATCGGTGCCGCCATCGAGCGTGAGTGGACCGTCGCTTCATCTGCGAACGCGTTTCCTAACGAAGGAAGAAATTGATGCGAATGCGAAACGTCGTGACGCCGTTCGCGCTGAACTCGAGTCTACGCCGGCGACGCAGAAGAAATTTCAACTGATGCAGCCGGCTCTTGCACCTGCAGTGACAAGTGAGGGCGAACATTTTTCGCTCGTTCAAATGAACATCTTTAAGGTCGTGCTCAGCCGCACAGTGTGCAAAGAATGTTTGAAAGGTGCTATGACTGTCCGAGAAAGCACCAAGCTTGGACTTGCAACAAAACTTGAAGTCGTGTGCGCCTCTTGTGGCACTGTCGATAAATTATGGACATCACCCCGCAAAAAGGACACGCAGGCCTTCGATGTAAATGTCCGCGCCATAATGGCTATAAAGCAAATAGGCAAGGGGCAAACAGCTCTTAATGACTTTTGGGCTGCCATGAACGTCTCTTACAGAGGTCTTCACCACAAGACGTTTCAAAAGCACTTGAAAGAGACGTTCAGGAAGCCAGAGGCCACCGCTTTGGAGAAGTTTTATGCTGATTCTGCCACAGCAGTGATCAAAACATATAAAGAAATGGACCCCAGCTTCTGCAAGGACATCACCGTAGTGTACGATGGCACATGGCATAAGCGGGGTCACACATCGGAGTGGGATCGGTAATTGACTTCTTTACAGGTCTCATCTTGGATGCTGTAGTTCTTTCAAACCACTGCCTTGGATGCCAAACAGGGCCCAAACTTGGAGATGCAGCATACGAAAGCTGGCAGAAGCACCACATTTGCCAGAAAAACACAGACGCAAAATCGGGAAGCGTGGAAGTGGAGGCAGGCTTGACTCTCTTTGGGCGGTCTGTGTCCAAGCATGGCCTGTGGTACACCACTCTTGTGTCCGATGGAGACAGCCGTACCTTCGCTGCCCTCACAGAAGAGAATGTGTACGGGCTAGTGCCAATTGTAAAAGAAGAATGTCTGAACCATGTTCAGAAAAGG